TACTGAAATAAGTCAGTATTACATGTCTACTATGTGATGAGGAAAATTAAAAATCAAACGAAATATGTTAACTAGGCTTGATTCAAAGTGGGCAAGCTTGAAACATAAAGTGGGCATACTTGAAATGTTTTATAATTAAGATACATTTCACACTGAATCATGTTTGCTAAAGGTTAGGAAAATAAGTATTTTACAAAAGAGTATTCTAAAGAATAGTAGAGAAGGATTCAAAATACTATTGGTCTGAGGAATTTAGTTCTTAATCCTCACTGTCCCAATAACTAGCTGCTCAGTCTGTTTATATGTGGAAAACGAGTCCTTGGTCTCCTGAAAGTCAGTTCCATCTCTTAAAATATGTAACAGACTGGTATGTATATATGCTTACACTATTTTTCCTAATGTATTTGTCTTTGAGTAGGAACTCAAATACGGAGTACTACTTATATGTTAGAGTCTGCCAGTGTATGTGATAACAGGTGTAGAAAGGACTTAAAATGGATTCTCTCTGGGGGCAAGGAGGAGATTTTGATTGCAATCAAACACAGTTGTCAATTGAATGCAGACAAGTCATAGTCCATTTTGCTCTATTAGAATGCTGCTCTGGATATATTACTATTGTAAAATTTAAGTTCGCTTTAATCATTCTGGATATCTATTCTCCTCATTTTTAGAATTGAAATCAGCATCAACAAATTACAAATTAAAAAAAAACTATGCCTGCATACAAATCTAAAAAAAAATACAAATTAAAAAAAACTAAACATTCAATTCTATACTCTGACACATGTAACATGTCAGGCCTGCAAACAATTCCATTCTGCATCTACCAGCACACTAAGAACCTCTACATAAATACACTTTTGCAACTGTTTATAGATAATTTTTGCTATTAAAAAAATAGGAACCACCTCCTCTATCCTTCAGTTCAGCAACGCCCATCATTAATCTTTTCTAATGGTTCTCAATAGTGCTTATTCTCCACAATTGTAACTCACACAGCAAAGTATCAGGTTTCTCAAAGTACTCAGAACAAACTACAAAGGAAATGTTTGTGGTCCATACACTTTGTCCACTTCAGTTAGATAGGATCACCTCGTTGTGAGGAGCGGGCTACTTTGACTCAGCATTTTCCACCTGGCTCAAGCTAAAGAGGTCACTGACTGCAGTGGAGGAGTCTACACTTAACCGATGTTCTTGCTTTCCAGCTAGCTCATTAGCCTGAACACACTTGCTCAAAACCTCTACTGTACAGACTGTAAAAAGCAGCAGTGTCATTTGGAGAATTAACTCTATTTATCAAGAAAATACATAAGGTAAGGTGAAATAAGGAATAAACCAATAGAAAAAATAAACACCTTCAAATATTTTAATTTCTATCACAAAATTTCTGTAATACCAAAATAAAACTGACCTATACATATATTTCAGAAGAAAATGCCTGGTTTTTATTCACTTTACTGAACAAGGATTACTTAACAGCTTACAAACAATTTAGTACTAAGAGCATCAGGCAGATAAAGTGCACAGAATCACCACAACCAAAAGGCCAAATGCAATAATATTTAGGTTCAAGATTTCATTTGAACTCACTTAGGAGCAAGTTTAAAATACCTTCCCCAATCACAAGGCAAAGGCATAGTATACTGTGTGTGCTCTCAGCTGATAACACCCAGCAACTGAGATATTTAAAAAATAAAATAATAATAATAAAATAAAGATAAAATAAAATGTGTATAATTATTCATTTTAACTATAGCTAATTTAAACTCTTAAATAAGAATAAAAATAACATAAAATAGGTGTAATTATTCATGTTATTTTAACTATAGGTAACTTAAACACTTAAATAAGAATAATCCATACACAAGCAATGTCTGCTATTTTAGAGGGATCATAACACTTTCACAGAGCTCTTTAAATTTTTTTATTAAAGATTTTTATTTATTTGAGAGAGAGAAAGAGAGAGAGAGAGTGCACACAAGCAGGGGGAGGGGCAGAGGGAAAGATGATACTGAAGTTGACTCCCCACTGAGCACAGAGCCTCCATGCAGGGTTCAATCTCAGGACCCTGACATGACCTGAACCAAAATCAAACATTGGACACTTAACCAACTAAGCCACCCAGGTGCCCCACAAAGCTTTCAAGTATCAATGAAGTGAGACATTGTAAATTGGGGCTCTAAAGTAAAATTGATTAATTTCAGATACATAGTCTGACTTCCTAGCTCTGTGATCTGTTAAGGTCACCTCATGATTTTCCTCATTGTGAAAGCAGGAGTAACACCTACACTCATCTCACAGGTTGCTTGTGAGAACTTAATTATGTCACAGATGTAATAGCTCAGTGAAAACCCCTACAATTATAGATATAAATAAAGATTAGCTACTATTATTCTTGAAAAAAAAACTCTTCCTTGCTCTGAGCACACTGAACATTCTTATTTTCTTCCTTCTTCGGCACTTCCTTCTCAACCTCCTCATCTGTCCTGTTTTTCTCTCCCAAACATCAAATGTTAAGTTCTCATATTATATACAACCTCAGTCCTCATCTCATTCTATCCTTTCCCAGAAAGAATCTAATCTTGCCCATGATTTAATTAATACCAGAAGACAATTCCCAAATGTGTATTTCTAAATCAGATCTGAATATACACGTGCCAATTCAACATTTCCACTTGGGTATCATGGAGGAACCTCAAATTCATTATAACTAAAAGCCAAACTCACCATTTTTCCCACCCAAACATAAATGTTGCCTACTAAAATCACCCAATTATACAACCCAGAACCCTAAGAATAATCCCTGAAATGTCCTGTTTCTCACTTCCCAATATGTAACCCATTTCTTACCTTTCCCATTTTAGCTCTGAAATATATCCCTTCATCTTCACAGCCACTATCATCTTCTGAATCTAAAGTCACTATCCAATAGCCCCCAAATTGGTTTTCCCAAAGCAGTCCTACCCCTCCAATCCCTGTATGACATCCAACTTTTAAAATACAAACATAATATAAACAAATAAATAAAATGCAAATATCACACCTCTAGCTATAACTTTTCTTTGGCTCATCAGTGCCCTCAGAATAAGAAGCAAAATACTTTGGCCCATTAATAAAGCTGTGCACGTGCCGTCTTGTTATTATCCTCTATATTCCTAAAATTCTTTTTCTTCTAAAATGCTAGGCTCTATCCTCCTTTGAGGCCTTTCTTCATACCCACTCTGTTGGGAATATGAAAGGTTTTCCACTTCCCGCTCCTGAACTCCCATTTCCAGCTATTTCTTTATCATTAAGTTCGCTGCTTAATCAATACTTCCTCCAGAAGGCGTTTCCTGGTTCTCTGGACAAGGTCAGTTTTTATTTATTATATTCCCACAAAGCACTCTTTACTATTGCATCACAATCCTCAGTGCATTTGTAATTACTCTGGTGTCTGCTTTCCACAAAAGATAATAAGGGACACAACAGCAGCAGGCAAGCCTGTCTTGTTTACAATTATATCCCTTAATCTTATCAAACACCATACTTTTCACAGTGGGTCAACTACGATATTGATAAATGTTTGCTGAATTAATTAACATAAAAATGGTTTTGATTTAGTCCCTAATTTGCTAATACTTATAATTTGTAGAGAAATGCACGTAAAACTAATTCAACACAGACTATACTAGCTTTTTACAGTAAATCAGCAAAAAAACCCTACTTGATCTATAAGAAAGATAATCAATTCTGGAAGCCAAATAAATAATATGAAGAAAGGCCCATATGAGGAAGCCTTCTTTCTGGTGCTGGGATATGAATGAAGCCGTAGAGAGCTAACAGGACTTCAACAAGCAAAGGATAAAAAGTATTCCAAGGAGAGGGAAATTTGGGCAAAGCCACAGACCTAGTCAGGGTATAAACAGAGACTGGTGAACAGACAATGTGCCTAAGGAGGGAAGTATACTGAAATACAGCAATATTTGCTATATATAAGAAAATATATTTGCTATACTGAAATACAGCAAATGGGCACACTGTGGAAAGCTGGAAAGCTTTCATTATCAGAATTAAAATGTCTCTCAAGGAGAACCACTGAAAATTTCATCATTAAAGAATGATGAAGACAGCAAAAACATGTTAACAGATTAAGATGAAGTGTGGATAAATAAATAATAAAAATCTTAGAAAAAAAAAAAAAGATGAAGTGTGGAGACCAACTAGTAAGCTATTTCAATATTTCAGGTGGAAAGGAAGGAGGGAAGGAGAAAAAATAATTATACAGTAGAACAACACTGCTCGAATGGGGAAGGGGTAGGTGACTGACTAAATGGAAAACCAAAACAGAGAAAAGATAGAAGAAGGATGTCAAAAGTTTTTTTACAAACACATTTTTTTTTAAAAACTTAACTTATTTATTTGAAAGAGAACATAAGCAGGAGGGGAAGAGGGAGAAAGAGAGAGATTCCCAAACAGACTCCATGCTTAGCATGGAGCCCAACACAGGGCCTGATCTCCGGATCCTAAAATCATGACCTGAGCCAAAACCAAGAGTGGGACACTTAACCAACTGTGCCACCCAGACGCCCCTCACAAAATACTTTTATTAATAATAAAAAAATACAAAAAATAATGAAAGTTCTTTTATAATTACTGCCTGAGTTTTCAATACACTTTATACCTAGTTTTTATTTTATATGGTTAGGAAAAAAACTCCTCAATGTTACTATAATTTCACTCTCTTTAAAATAGTTAATTTCCTACAATCATTGGGATGAAAGGAACTACCTTATAACATGCTGACTTTCTCTATTCAGTAGAAGAAAACCCTTTATGTCTAAAAGAATTCCAGTCTTTGTAATAGGCTCTGTGCAAAAGTTAAAAATGACGTACAGAATTTTTTTTTGACGTACAGAATTTTTTAAAAAGGTCATTCTAATTTCAAAAATATTAACATCTGAAAGTATGTCATCTTTAATTATCAAGAGAATATCTGAAGAATAATAAGACATAACACTTACTTTTGCTGCACCTATCTGTTCTTTGCGAAATTTCTCAAGTGGAGCAATTAACACATCATTAGCGTTTTGAATCTGAAATTAAAAATGCAAACACATTAAGTTCCATAATATTTCATGTAAATATTAATAAAAAAAAGATAGCTCCTTTATTCAACTTAAATAAAGAACTTTTGTTCTCTTGACGGCTTCTATAAGTGAAATAAAAATACCTTGCATGTTATATAGTAATTTCTACTTTATAAGGTTGTTTCCACAAATTATTTCACTTAATTCCAACAATAACATGAATAATGGAAACCAAGTATACATGTTGAGATCCTAGTCTAAATATTTAATTTCGTATTCTAAGATGTAACTAAGAAATAATACAGATATTTACAAATACCGTTAATTACTCTGGTTTAATGCAGTTAGTTTAAGCATCATTTTATTTTTTTTTTAAGATTTTATTTATTTATTTGTTAGAGAGAGAGAGAGAGAGCATGAGCACAGGCAGACAGAGTGGTAGGCAGAGGCAGAGGGAGAAGCAGGCTCCCCGCCGAGCAAGGAGCCTGATGTGGGACCAATCCCAGGACGCTGGGATCATGACCTGAGCCGAAGGCAGCCGCTTAACCAACTGAGCCACCCAGGCGTCACTAAGCATCATTTTAAAATCAAATCATATAAAGCTCTTCTATTTGCCACTAGAATGTTATTCTACATCTGCAAAATAAAATAAGGTTCATTTTCTTCTATTTAATTAGTTTTCTTACACTTGGGATTTGGCTGAATGTTCATATACTTCCAACCCTACTATAATATTACCTGATTTCATTTCAATGAACAGTATTTTAGCCCCAAACTCCAAACTGGGATTTACTACCACTTTAAGAAAGATAAATATTTTAATTTGGATCTGTGAGAATATTGTGAAGAAGGAGTTTTCAGTGTGGGAACCAGGTACTGAATGCAAGAGATATACATTTCTAAGAAAAACAGTATGCTGGGAAGAAATCTTCAATTGAAAAAACCTTTACAAAGTATTAAAATTAAACACAGAATCTTAAATGTTCTCAACACAAACACGAAAAATGGTAATTATATGACAGAATGGAGGAGTTAGCTATTGCCCTGATGGTAATCAGTTTGTAATATATACATGTATTAAGTCAACCTGCACACTTTAAACTTACATAATATTATATGTCCTTGATATCTCAATGGGCTAAAGGGACAGTTATAGTTAACAAACAAAATTTTAATTTACCACTGTGATAATATGATCTATTATATAATTAGCAAATGCTAAGATGAAGAGAAATCTTTTTTTAAATTTCTTTTCAGTGTTCCAGAATTCATTGTTTATGCACCACACCCAGTGCTCCATGCAATACGTGCCCTCCATAATACCCACCACCAGGCTCACCCAAACCCCCTACCCCCCTCCCCTCCAAAACCCTGTTTATTTCTCAGAGTCCACAGTCTTTCATGGTTCATCTCCCCCTCCAACTTCCTCCAATTCAATTCTCCTCTCCATCTCCCCCATGTCCTCCATTGTTATTCCTTATGCTCCACAAGTAAGTGAAACCATATCATAATCGACTCTCTCTGCTTGACTTATTTCACTCAGCATAATCTCTTCCAGTCCTGTCCATGTTGATATAAAAGTTGGGTATTCATCCTTTCTGATGGAGGCATAGTACTCCATAGTGTATATGGACCACATCTTCTTCATCCATTCGTCTGTTGAAGGGCATCTTGGTTCTTTCCACAGTTTGGCGACTGTGGCCATTGCTGCTATGAACATTGGGGTACAGATGGCCCTTCTTTTCACTACATCTGTATCTTTGGGGTAAATACCCAAAAGTGCAATTGCAGGGTCATAGGAAAGCTCTATTGTTAATTTCTTAAGGAATCTCCACACACATTTAAAAATAAAACCCTATTTTTAAAATATGTAACTCTATTTTAAAATAGGTTAAAGTATATACAGGAGTTCCTTACATCATTCTTACAACTTTACTCTAAGTCTAAAATTATACCAAAATTCTAAAATTTCAATGCAAGTGTTTTACTTTGACTTAATTTCACTGAACTTCTTATTCTCTAGTCAAGTTTTATTTCTCAAATTCCATATCTAAGTCCACAAAGATAATATACACAAAAATAAAAACTAGTGTGTTAGTGCCTTTGATGATAGCATTCTCCAATTCGTAAAAAAATAATATGGCAGATACTGAAAAGACTTAAACTCCTTGTATAAAGACATAAGAAGGGACGCCTGGGTGGCTCAGTTGGTTAAGCATCTGCCTTCTGCTTGGGTTATAATCTCAGGGACCTGGGATTGAGTCCCACAAGGGGCTCCTTGCTCAGCAGGAGCCTGCTTTTCCCCCTCCCTCTGCCAGTCATTCCACCTGCTTGTGCGCTCTCTCTCTCTCTCTCTCTCTCTCTGATAAACAAATGAACAAACAAACAATTAAAATAATTAAAGAAAAGACATACAAAGTAGATCAATACTCAAAACCCTTTCTAAGACATCAACAACAAACTGTAGATACCTCTGACAACATCACAGTTGTGAGCTCAGACAGACATTCCTCCAGATACACTGCAGGCATCTTTCTAGAGAGAAATGACTGGAAAGTAGCAAAGTAGCTCACTTTTAATTGTCATGCTCTAAATCTTCTTTACCCTCATAAAACCCCAAATACATAAACACACATGTACATACACAAACACACACACACACACACACACACACACACATAACTGCTTTTAAACTGAAGTTGGCATAAGGTGAAAGACAGTGTCATGAACACTTATGTGTAATTTTGAAAAATGATAACAATAAAGGCTAGTATTTACTGAAGGTTTATGTTATGCTGGAAACAAGCATGATCTAATATATTTAAAGTCAGTGAACTTAAACAGGGAGATATTTCTCAAGTGGTGAAAACAGCAACAATAAGGGTGCTGAATTAGATGATATGCAATATACAGCACAAGCACATAAATTTAAAATCAAGAATACCTGGGTTTTGGGATGCCTGGGTGGCTCAGTTGGTTAAGCAGCTGCCTTCGGCTCAGGTCATGATCCCAGCGTCCTGGGATCAAGTCCCACATCGGGCTCCTTGCTCATCAGGGAGCCTGCTTCTCCCTCTGCCTCTGCCTGCCATTCTGTCTGCCTGTGCTTGCTCTCTCTCCCTCTCTCTCTCTGACAAATAAATAAATAAATCTTAAAAAAAAAAAAAAGAATACCTGTGTTTAAACTGGGGCCTGTTGTTATAAGCTGCTGTTTAACCATTCTCAGCATCGGCTGCAACACCTACCCCACAACTTAACTTGGTTCTAAGGACTAAGATAAGGAATATAAAACACTTAGTTCAGTGTCTTAACATAGTAAGTCTTCAAAATTTATAGCTTTTAATAGTTCCAAACTGACACAGATAATTAATCTCATTCTGTATTTATGTACTGAATACACTTCTGTATCTGAATCTATAGTATTACTCTTTGGTTGAAGTCTATGTGCACATTATGAGAAAGTACTTTCCCATAAAAGTCCTGAAAGACAGATGGCTGGACTATCCCATATCCAATCACTAGGTACTTATGTACTTCCAAGCATACTGCTGAGGTCTATGGTAAAGTGAAAAAACTAAGGCATGGACTAAGCCTTCCAGAAATTTAATGTCTATTTGAGTAGAGAGGAAAATTTTATTCATTCAACAAGTATTTGATGCTCTTAAAACACTGCTAAAATTTTTGGAAAAATTGAAAGACAAAACTGATTAGTTCTACATGATAAACTATGGAGAACTCCTTATGAATACATGAATACATCAGGATTTTGAAAACAGAAAAGATCCTTGAGAACTAAATAAAGAACTGAAAAGATAAAATAATTCTAGAAACAGGGAACACCATGAATAAAGGCAAAGGGGCAGAACTAAGCCTGATATGAGGGAAGGGAGAGTGCAGTACAGAAAAATAAAGCATTTCTTAAACAATCATTAAGAGTCAATCATGACTGTGAGTGCATTGACCTAGTTACAGGCCCTCAGTTAACTTTTGAAAAATGGGAATACAGAATGAATATGAAGCATATCAAACAGTTCTGGCACATAATATGATCCATAGAATTAATACATTATTATCAACTAACAAGAACATTATCTAGCTGGAGAAAAGTGTGCATGTGTGTGTATACACACACACACACACACACACACACACACACACACACACATATTTTTGATAGAAAACTCAGTTGGAATAAGGAAAAGATACCCATAATCTAGGAAGAACAGCCTGAACATAGAATCCCTGCTGGCTTCTAAACAGAAAATTCATGTTGTAAAAACCTGTTCTAGGAAACCAGTAATATGTGGGATAGTTTGAGAAGCAAGAGATGAAGACAAGATGTGCCAGGTGAATAGCTGGGAGTGGAACTCAAGTTTGAAACAATAAGGTACTAGGATCAGGTTCCTGCAGTGTTAACAAACTGCTAACAGGGAACTGCAAGTTTTCTCAGAAATAGAAAAGGGTCCAGAGGGAGAGGAATCAAAGGGCACATTAAGAAGTTTTGCCTCAAGCATTGGAACTCTGGCATCACATTAAGAACTAGAGTAAATAAGGTAAAGAGTCTGTTTGTTGGAGAAAGAATAAAAATAATGAATTTCACTTTGGATCTATTATGTTCAATGCCAGGGGAAGACTCAAGTATTTTGGCGGAATATGCCATCTCAAAATAACAGAGTTAATCAATATGAATGAAACGTATTATTGGGGAGAGAAGGATTAGGAAAGGGACCTAAAGGATAAATCCGTATACTAAGACACTGGTGCCACATTCCTATCCAATGGTTTCAGTCTCTGCCATATGTAAATATGACCTGGGAATAAAACAAAACCTGAGGATATAACACAGAAGATGTGAAATAACAACCACCCTCTGGGGCAATTATTATTTCTTAACCCAATTTGCCCATATTTCTTCACTTTTTTTCTTTTGTTTTTAGATTTGTTCATTTTTCTCCTCTTTCTTTCTCCTACTCTCATTCTATTAATGTGAAACCGAAGGAATTAAAAAA